GGGGGGACCATGCCTTTTACTTCTGAACGTTTTTTCTAACATTATTATGTGCATTCCTTCCCACCAATACATGGAACTCGAAGTAGTTGGCAACCTACTTGAAATGTAAAGGCCATTGAGGATAATAAAAGTTTTAAAGAAATATAGTCTAGATCAGGGTTTTTCAAACTGAGGCCTTCAAAGGGTACCCTGAGAGACTAAAAGCAAAACCATCCTAAAATAACTAACTTGAATGCTGCCAATTTTCTCAGAATCAAGAATTCAGATAATGTTTTTTACTAATATTAAAAACCGCTGGCCTAGATTAGTGCATGTATTATGTTTTCAAAGAAGAAGATATTAATATGCTGCCACGATTTGTACTCTGGTTGATCTAACCTTGGAATCATGCTCAAATCCAAGATGAAGCTCAAATTGAGTCTTTGAGGGGGAGGGTAATCCTCTCTAGTACAGGGTGAATCCCTATTGCCTCAATTTGCTTCTAAGCTAAGCAACTCTTTATGAAGGCTCATAGGTTTATACTATCCACTATCAACATCAGAACAGAATTAGACCTCAAATAGCTTTCTCATATTTGGACTTAAAGGAGAGATATAGTTGGAGGTCATCCCCATCACTACTAGTACTGAACTCTCAAACAATTTATGGACAACTTATCTAGGCATGTATACCATATTTATTTGTACATATTTGCATAGAACTCTTGAGTGTTTAAGTACTTCAATTATATCAGGCATTCTCTGTACTTTCAGAAGAGTTCTTAAAATGGAAAGCTAAGATGTTCATTTTTGGGTACTCAAAATGTCAGGTGCCCAATTCCTGGGTTGTTATACAAATGTTTACGCTTTGCTGTTGCAGCTTTCCCTAACCTCTGGCCTTCTATATAGAATTCTCCTGCCAACATGACAATGATCCCTGGGTAAATTATCATATTTTGGACACACTGTGCTTAGATCCAGCTCTTTTGAGAAGTCCAAATACTGAGAAAGATGAAAAGAAAGAGGATAACTAGCAGTGAGGTGAACAGATTTAATTATAGTGGTGTAGACTGCACTTAGTTCAGTCACTAAAATTGACACAAATTTGAGGGCACATAATCAATCTGGGAAAAGCTAGTTTATTTGTTGTTTTACTGTGAAAAGTTGTATAGTGTTTTCATCTACATAAGTGGCTTGTTATTTTTATTTTTTGAGGTTGTTGTTTTAAAAAATGTTAGAAACTGGGAGAGGAATTTACTTACCATAAAAAAAGTAAGTAAATAAGAAAATAAATACCCATACATGATTACACATTAATCAGGGATTATAGCTGAGACACAGTACCTTTTCTTTCATTTAAACCAAGTAATATCCAAATCAGTGCTTATCACCAACTACTATATTATACAGTACCAAATTTTCTATTATAAAAATATTAGATAAATTATACAGAACTGGGTATGTGTCTAGTAGTTGCAGCCTTCTTCATTGGTGCTCTTTGACATCAAACCTGTTTTTCCAGATTATATTTTGAACAAGGTAAATTGTATTACATACATACATACATGGAAAATAATTAAATATAGTGCAGTAAGCATCATAAATCTTGTGGAGTCTCAGCTGCCAATATTACCCCAGAAATTAATGCCTGATCAGTTTATGTTGTTGTATCATCTGGCAGTCCCAAGATGACCATTTGGCCTTCAACTTTGCCCTCAAAGTCCAATCCACCCATATCTCTGGAGGAAAGTGATGCTGAAGAAGTATTTCATAATTTTCGTAAATTTGGGTCACAATGAACCAGAAGAAACTCTTGTTTAGTCTTCATGCTAGGAAATCAAAACAACATGTAATGTGCGAGTTCTGCTATCGCTATGGCCTGAATCCTGCAAGTGCAGAGTTTTGTCTCATAAATGCCCTTGGAACAACTCTTCCTAAAATCACTACAGATAATTGTTTTGAACCAGAAGGTAGTAAAAGGCCTTTCTTAGATAAAAGTTTGGTTTAGGAAAAACAAGGATATATGAAATAGCGTTAGTTCCACTATTTATTTAGCTGACATGCTAATTTATTACTAACATATCTTTCACAGTTAACTGGTCCCCCCCACAGTACTTGAATAATATGCTTTAATTCAAGACTGATGATTGTTTGGAGTTACAGAAACATAACATAACAGGAAGTCTGTGTGTCTCTGTGTGTAATGATGTTCCTATGCAGTTAATTATGCAGAGAAATAATCAATTACACTAATTGTCTGCACCAAAAATGGCTTTTTCTTCCCTCCCAAGTTGTTTATATTGCTGTTATGCCTTCTACCTTTGCATCTTGTTGATGTGTTCATCTATTTTATATAACATTTTAATCTTGTTTCATTGTTAAAACTGACAAATTTACTATTTTTTTTAATTTTGTTTTCTCCATAGGGTGTGTGAATTTAAAATAACCAAAAGAATATTGTCTGTCTTCTGCTATAATGTTTTTGCTTCATTTGGTGGCATGCTAACTGATTGGGCATTTTGATTAGCCTATTTTACATTAGCGCTCTGAGCCAATATATATAAAGAGATTCTACAAGGAATGAAATATGTGTGAGTCAAAAATATTTACTCTGTAAAGAAATAATAGCATAATAGTAAAGACTGAGTTCACCTATCATCTGAAACCACGTTACCATTTGTTTGATCTTAACTTACTATGGAAAGCTGTTGCAAGGTATGGTTTATGAAACAATATGTGCCAGTCAAAATATTGTGGCTTGTTCAACACAACATGGCTGTGTATGTATTCAAACCAGTGGAAAATTTGCAGATTAATCATTGTCATATATAGGCTATAATCACATCTACTTCAACAACTGGACTGTTCATGGCCAAGGGAGTTGCCCATGACTGTCAGGCTAGTTGCAATCCCCTCCTCTACTGTATTTCAATGCTTGCCAACACAATTCTCTTTGTTTTCTCTCTCTTGTTATCTTTGCCCTCTTATATCCAATTTTTGGCTGAGTCTTGCTCTAGACATTTTATTTTCCTATACTTTTTACACCCAAAACTGCTCTGGTTAGTTTCAAAAGTCAAGGAAAAATGCAGAATTGTCCTATGTCTTTTGTTTTCATCCAAGCAAGACTATTTTCTGTGTTTCTTTCTTATGTTTCGGCAGACACCTTTGTTTTTTACATGGCTTGTTAATCTATTTCCAAAATAAAGCATGCTTAATTTTGAGAACTTGCCTTCCAGCAAGTTATTTGCAGCACAGTGCTACAGATATAAATGCAGAAACAGCTCAGACTTCACAAAAATGTGTTGAATTGCAGCCCTAATCCCTATTGCCTGAGAATTTTTGCATTAGCAATGTTTCAGCTCAAACAGTAAACCTAAGGCTCCATCTGACTAGTCACTGGTTTCAGATCATATTTTAGGAATTAGCCAAGTAGAAGAGAATGTCCTTCCAAGCATGTGCTTTTTGAAATGTTAGTCTGCTTATGTTGTTTGAAACCCTTTGGCCACAGTTGAAAAGGAAGCTTGATCCCACAGCTGCTACGTCTGCATTAGTAGTATACTTTAAGAATGGACTTCATTAGGAATTTAAGTGGAATTTTAGAAGCTGTATCTTCTTGCAGAAATTCATTCATCAAAACTTTAAAAAAAATTAAATAACACTGCATGATTAGGTGCCTATAAAACTAGTCTTACTGATTACCAAACTGAGATTGTGCTTTGCTGCAATCTGAACTATGTACATACTTCCCATTATTAATGTGAGTGTAGATAGCAGCAACAGCAGTAGTTACACAACTGTTCTCCAACTTTGGACTACAAAGATTGCACACTTCAATCAGAGTGTTTAATTTTATGGGTGTGGGGGTTGGGGTCATGAGAAGTTGGCATCAAGTGTATCTGAAAACATCTTTGTGATGCTTTGATGTAAAAGGCCTTTTTTTTTTAAAGATGAAATTTTTTATTTTCATTTTCATACACTCACATGTATACTGTACATAGTCAGCACCATACAGCATTAAACAGTAATTGCATCAATTCCTCTTGTCAACAAGGCCCCAGAAAATAGAAACCCAATATAACTCTTCCGCTCTCCATACACCTCTTTCTTCCACCACCCACCAACTTTCTNGTCAAATAATATATTTAATAATACAACTCATGATTTGTACTTTGACACTAGGATTGGAACTAACAACAACTAGGATTGGAAACAGTTTCAAATGAAAATTTCTGATGTTTGTTCGAAGTGAAAGGCATCAGTTATTTGAGCACAGTGTTAATTTGGAGAATCGAGAAAGTTATTGAAAACCTTCTAGTTTATCAATATGCCAACTTTTAAGTGTTTACAGTTTTGTTAACAGGCTAACCTTTCTGTGCCTGAGGCTGTCTGTTGCACTAGAAGTTTAAACTGTTAAGCCTGATGTGTTTAGGATTCAGACAACTATGGGAAGTGAAAACAGGATGTATAAATGGATTAAATATTCTTTAAAAGGGGGATAGTAGAACTGAAGAAAGAACAGGCACATTTATTGGGACAGACAGCAGTTCAATGATAAACACGATCTGACATATTTTAAACTATGGACACTAGAAGAACATAACAAGCAGATTCAGCCAAGTTAGACTACTAGGGCCATCTAGTGGCATGTCTTCATAGTGACTGGGAATAGCTCTCCTGCAGTGATCCCCAACCTGGCTGGCACCAGGGACCGGTTTTGTGGAAGACAATTTTTCCAGGACGGAGGGTGAGGGGATGGTTTGCATGCAGCCTAGATCCCATGCATGTGCAGATAAAGCTTTGCTCACTCGCCTGCTGCTTGCATGGTCTGGTTCCTAACAGACCACAGACTGGTACCAGTCAGTGGCCCAATGGTTGTGGATCCCTGCTGTCCTGAATACCATACAGAGATGCCAGGAATTAAACTGGGAGGCTGATTGTTTTTTGTAATGCAAAGAAAAAAAACCCAGTAAATATATATTCTTTAAGATATAAATCTTAAATCTTCCCCATTCTGGTCTCCAGTGTTGTCAAGAAGGTGGCACAATATATGTCTGATGTGTTGGAAGACAGTAAAGATAAAGTTCAGGAAAACCTTCTCGCCAATGGAGGTAAATTTTGTCTTGCTACTACAATGTATTTGAATACTGAGGGTTGATTATATAGAAGACAATCCTTCAATTCTTATGTGGAAAATAAATCAGTTTTGGAAAAAAAAATATTTTGCATAAAAGCAACACAAACATAATAAAACAGCCTTTATTAAATCTTGTGTTTGCAGTGTCATAAAGAGAATCCTGAAAATCAGTTTGATATAGTAGTTAAAACATTAGTCTAGAAACCAGGAGATTTTCAGTTCTTTTCTGCCTTGGGTACAAAACCAATTGGGGGACCTCTCAGCCCAAGGAAGGAGGCAATGGCAATGCACTTTTGAAAAACTTCATCAAGAAAACTGCAAAGACTTCTCCAGACAATCTCTGAGAATCAAACATGATGGAACAGAAGAAAATGAAAGAAATGTACAACATGGAAGTAATATAATATGGAAATAATTTAAAGCATATAATGCTGATTCCATTTTTTCTTCACACCTCATAGAGAAAGCATCCCTAAAAACAATATATTTGGCTAGATATGTATTCTCCATGCTACAATTCAAAATAAATCTTCAGAATTCACCAAAACTAATTTCTAAAAGATACAGTGCCAATATGATAATCAAAAGTCAAAGGAGATTTTGTCTTTAATTAGACAAAGCTAAAACTATAAAAGCTATAGATGAGGCAAATTCTTCCATTCTTTCTACATAGACATAAGAATTTTTTCCTCATTACTTCTACGGTAATATATCCTAATTGTATGCAAAAGTTCTTGTGTGGATCAGAAATGGCCTATGCTCTTTGGGTGGTTACACTGTATTCTGTTCCATCTTTATTTTAAGTAATTATTTTTTAAATGTATTTAAAATCCCTAGATTTTTTGTAGGATGTATGGGTTTGCTTATTTAGTTCAATATTTAATCATTTTTCCCTAGTTGATTTGATTACCTACATAACAAGATTCCAGTGGGACATGGCCAAGTATCCAATCAAACAGTCTCTGAAGAATATTTCAGAAATAATTGCTAAGGTAAGATTATACACGTAAAAGACTATGGAGCTTGTATGCTAATTATTAATACAAAATGACTATTTTTATTGCATAAATAAAGTGAATACCATAAAGTGATAATATTTTACATATTCAGGATTATTATTTTTTCAAAATACTTATATCACATATAAATTTGAATTATATAATTTCCCTGGGAGTAAATACTATTGAAATATTTAAAAATGTATAGATCTTTGGTATGAATTTTACTACTTATCATTTTGTTCAGTTTTTCTATAGATGCATGTTCATTTGCCTACACACACACACACACTTTTATATTGCTGTGCTACTTCAGATGATTAGTTATTTCCTTTTTTGCTAACTATTCTCCCTCCTATTACATGTGAGGTACTTACCACTAGACATGTGCAAGATCTTGGGATTTAGGGAATGGAGCATTCTGAAAAATTCCAGAATGCTCTGTAGCTCCTCTGCATCTTGTCAATCTTGGAACTGCCAAATTGGTCAGGAAGCAGAGAAACAGAATATTGAAGTGTCCTGTAGATTAGAAGACTCCATTCCTGAACCCCATATTGCAGTTCATGAATGGAATCCTGTTTGCTAAAACAGTGAAAATTGCATGGCAATTTTCAATGTAATTTATACTGAAAAAAATTGGCCTTGTTTCTTAAATATACGTACATCTAATATGTATATTTTTGGGGTACAAAAGCTTTTTTCAGAGTAGTACCATCAAAGTACGCTTAAAACATTGACAATGTGTTTTGTCATTGATAAAGAGTTTTATTCCAGAAACATCAAGTGGATAAAATTGTTGCAAAGAAACACTGCAACTACCAGTAGTTTGTTGCTTCTGTCTGACAATAGTTTTCTGTAGACATTAGTAGAAAAAAAAATCATAAAATACAAAAGGTTTTGAGCATAATACATCTTTTTTTAAAATTACAGACTGCTAAAATCCTATTTCCTGGTAATATTTCCTGGTTCATTTCTAAAAACCAGAATCATTGAAGTTTAGTCTATTAATTTGAATACTTTGCCTCATTTTTTTCTGTTTATTTTTTTCCTTTTTATTTGGCTGCTTGCAATTAGTAATAGGTTTTATAGACATATTTAATTTGGGTCTCTCCTTACTTCTAAGACACATATCCTAATTATTATTTTTTTCCAAGGGAGTGACACAGATTGATAATGATCTAAAGGCAAGGGCATCTGCATACAACAGTCTAAAAGGCAACCTTCAGAACTTGGAAAGGAAGAATGCGTGAGTTGTCATCTTGTTTTGTAAGATTGTCTCAGAGCTGGATGATCAATTTGATATATATTCAAATTCTTGAAATAATGCACATGTAGAGGAAGCTATTCTGCCTCTTGAATTTTAAAACACAAGTTCTGAGTAGGAATGCAATCTTGTATATCTAGATGGTAAAGGAGCATTAAGTGTTGTGTCGTCTTTATAGAATGTCTTTTAACCTCACTAACTTCATTGTAATCAAATCTAATCAAATGTAGGTATAAACCTATAAAGATCTATTGAGTTTCCCAGCATATACTATAGAAAGTTACATCAATAATGTTAATTTCCCAAAAGAGAAAAAAAAAGAGATCTGTGGAAAGTTTTGCTCTCCACCTGAATCACATTCCTGTCATAAGCACTTCCAGGTTGAACACCTGAATGAATAGTACTTATATCCATTTAAAGATTGAAGTAGAACACTCACTTCCTCATGTTCTTTTTCTGCTTTGACAGGGGAAGTTTGCTAACAAGAAGTTTGGCTGAAATTGTGAAGAAGGATGACTTTGTACTTGATTCTGAGTACTTGATTACATTGTTAGTAGTTGTACAAAAGTAAGTCAATATTTTATGTCCTAAAAGAGAACAGACAAGAAAAGTCCAAGTGGAGAAAGAGCTTTTTGTTTAGGGAAAGATTTAAATGAAGTTGTCACATATATAAATGAAAGGCATATATGAAAATGTGGCACATCTTTTAAAAATAGTAGATCGCTCCCAATTTCAACAGATGGACTTTGAAAGGATTTATACAATCTTAAGAGAAACTATAGTACATGTAGTCAAGACTTAGTGACTGTAATTGGGATTGACAATTCTGTCTGCAAGCACCATAGTTATTAAGTGAATTACGTGATCTTGCCTGACTTAGATGTTTCACTGTGATTGTTAAGTCAATCACCAGTGGTTGTTAAGTACGATGTCACATGCTTTGACTTGTGACTTATTGCCAGCTTCCTCATTGACTTTGTTCGTGGGAAGCCATCTGTTGCAATTGGTGATTGTATGACCATAAGGATGCGGTGAATATCTTATGTTCAAGGATCAGTCATAATTCTACTTTCCCAATACTGTCGTAAGTTGAAACAATTGCTAAATGGGGTGGTCATTAACCAAGGACTGCTCATATGGAACAATCTTGTAATTAATCCTAAATATTATAGTTCTATATAAATTGAAATTGTTATTATCATAAAATATGCATCCTTAAAATTAAATAAGTCAAGTAAAATCACCTCAGCGTGCAATTTCACTTACTGAGTTGCTTGACTTGTTTAGTTGCTAGTTTGTAAAATTTACCAAAATCAGTCCGAATTTTGCTTCTTAGAACTTGATTATCTTTGTCTAACTCTACATCCTACCCAGTAATTTCAGTAAAATATTGGTAATTCTAATAATGAGATTGTTTCTTTTGTAACAATACTGTAATCTAAGTATATTCTACTTGTGTTCTAGCTAAATTGTTAGAAGAATACTAATGACGTTCATTTTTTTTAAAACAAATTGAACATTTCTACTAAAACAGTGTTACTTTAGAAAAACACACTTTAAAGCTAATAAAAACCTAGGCAGAAATAAGATATTGCAGATTTTATTTATTTACCATATTTTTGAGCCACAAAATACCTGTCAACATAATTAGTGCATTTTTAAATTTAAAAAATGTAATTTTAAAAGAAGTTCAACTAGTTTCAGCAGCATTTCACAGGTTTTCTTTCACAGTAGGAAAAAAAACAGTAATTCCCAGTCTTAACACAGGTGTGTATAGGATAGAATCAAGTCCTTTACTCCACTGTATTTATAGCTTTTTGCATATACTAATGCGTTTCCAAAACGCTGACTGGTTTTTCCATGTTCTGGACTCTTGTTTTTATTTCCAGTCATAAAACAGTCATCAATTGTTCATCAAAATGGCATGACTGTTCTTTTGATACATGCCCCTCCTTTGGAAAGGACTTTGGTGTGCTAAGTTTGCAGGGATAAAGAGACACGTTCATTTGTTATCTACACTATATTGCCAAAAGTATTCGCTCACCTGCCTTTACTCGCATATGAACTTATATTGGCTCCCAGTAGATGTTCAGGTGCAATTCAAGTTTCCTGGTTATTGCCTTTAAAGCTTTAGATGCCATAGAACTGAGCTACCT